TTACACATCTCAGGAAATATAAACCATCGGATGACGCCCCTCGAATCATCAATGAACAACATTCCAACATGAATGTTGAACTGAATGACAGATAAGACGAACTCCATCAAATGAACATTCCCTAGAAATGACTGAAATCAGTCATTTCTTGTGTTTGACTATAGACTCTCGTCAGAGAGATGAGGTCATGGGCTTATAAATCGATGTCAGTTTGAAACCGATCCAAGACTCAAAAAATAACTGATGTAGTTAGATTCCCATTTCAATGTCAAACATGAGAAATTTGCTATGGATGCCCTGCTTGTACTTTTGCCATTACTTACGACATATTTGTTTGAATGTTCATTTAGTGTTATATAAATTCGAAATTTGTAAGCGAGGCGATGTTCCAGCAAAATTATTTAGTTCTTTGATTGCCTCATTGAAACCATACCACGGGTGGGGTTAGAACCCTCGAGAAGAGTCACAAAACTCCAGACCGTCGCGGGTTCTAACCCCACAGTCGCCATCGCTTCCAGCACCTCGATAAAGGATCTAACCAGAACAAAATCAAAGCACCACGGACCAGTTAATGCAGCGGTTAACACTATACCCTGTGGAGGCTGTGACAAGATTTACGTAGGTGAAACAGCAAGAAACCTCGACACCCGCCTCAATGAACACATTTACGCATGTAGGAACGATAACTTGAACAACGCCTGTGTACAACACCGAAATTCCACCAATCATCTCATGAAGTTCAGGGACGCCCAATTAGTGATCAAAGAAACTAATTTCCGCAGACGCAAGTGCCTTGAATCTTCACTAATAAATGTTTCTAATACAATTAAACAAAACAAAGGCAGCTTCACCATCTCTGAAGTCTTAGCAAGAATCCTCCTGAAAACAGTAAACCCTGCCATCACATAGTCTCTCCTGTTAATACTACACAAGCACATTACAGAGAATGAACATTGAAACAGGCTGCCTCTATCCAGCCTCCAATAGAAATATTTGTCTAACCAATTTTTGTTTCCCAAGTAATAGCTTTTATATCCTTTACTCATGTGCAAGTTAATTGTTCTAACATATTGTATTACTACTCCTACTACTCCTACTACTACTACTACTACTGCTGCTGCTACTACTACTACTACTACTACTGCTACTGCTACTCCTACTACTACTATTACTACTACTACCACTAGTATTGCACCTCACTCTGAGCCTATATATACCCTCTGTGTCCATGTACTGTTTGTCACGGCTTGATAAAGCTCCTGGAGAGCGAAACGTTGCCACAATAAAATGTCACATTAGTTGCACTTGTGTCCTTTAACTTTATATCTTGTCGGTAATTCTACCAACTTTATTACAGTGGTATGGTTTGTTTGCAATCATGTCATTACAATATCGTAAGTCACATTATCTCATTTAGTTTCTCAGCACTTGGCTCAAAGTTCTCATTGAAGTTGTACAGTTAGAATGGTCACAGTGGTGCCTATGCTAACCTTCCTATGGTGTAGAAATATACCTAGTTGGACAAATCTTATTGTGGCTAGCTGGTCCAGTGGCTAACACGACGGTCTGGAGTTTTGAAACTCTCTGACCGCGGGTTCAAATCCCGCCCGTGGTATGGTTTGTTTACAATCGTGTCATTACGATTTCGTGAGTCATGGAAATCTGATATTAAGGCAAGTTCTGAAATCAAATATTTTTGCGTCTTATTTCTCCCTTCCTATTTGGTCAAATGATTCCAATTATTTAATTATATTACAATAATAATTTTGTATTATACTCTACTGTAAATATAGAGTGATGATGCAAATAATATATTTCATGACGATTTAAGAATAACGACGATTTGCAAGAGCTTGGCATCCCTAAGGAAGGAATGTTAAGTAGAACATTGAGAAACACTGTTCTACAGCTAGGCATAAGGAAGGAAGGAATGTTATATAGAACATTGAGAAACAATGTTCTACAGCTAGGCATAAGGAAGGAATGTTAAGTAGAACATTGAGAAACAATGTTCTACAGTCAGGCATAAGGAAGGAATGTGTAACATTGAGAAACACTGTTCTACAACTAGACATAAGGAAGGAATGCTATATAGAACACTGAGAAACACTGTTCTACAGCTAGGCATAAGGAAGAAAGGAATGTTATATAGAACATTGAGAAACACTGTTCTACAGCTAGGCATAAGGAAGAAAGGAATGTTATATAGAACATTGAGAAACACTGTTCTACAGCTAGGCATAAGGAAGGAATGTGGAACATTGAGAAACACTGTTCTACAACTAGGCATAAGGAAGAAAGGAATGTTATATAGAACATTGAGAAACACTGTTCTACAGCTAGGCATAAGGAAGGAATGTGGAACATTGAGAAACACTGTTCTACAACTAGGCATAAGGAAGGAATGCTATGTGGAACATTGAGAAACACTGTTCTACAACTAGGCATAAGGAAGGAAGGAAGGAATGTGGAACATTGAGAAACACTGTTCTACAGCTAGGCATAAGGAAGGAAGGAAGGAATGTGGAACATTGAGAAACACTGTTCTACAACTAGGCATAAGGAAGGAAGGAAGGAATGTGTAACATTGAGAAACACTGTTCTACAGCTAGGCATAAGGAAGGAAGGAAGGAATGTGTAACATTGAGAAACACTGTTCTACAGCTAGGCATAAGGAAGGAAGGAAGGAAGGAATGTGTAACATTGAGAAACACTGTTCTACAGCTAGGCATAAGGAAGGAAGGAAGGAATGTGGAATATTGAGAAACACTGTTCTACAGCTAGGCATAAGGAAGGAAGGAAGGAATGTGTAACATTGAGAAACACTGTTCTACAGCTAGGCATAAGGAAGGAAGGAAGGAATGTGGAACATTGAGAAACACTGTTCTACAGCTAGGCATAAGGAAGGAAGGAAGGAATGTGGAACATTGAGAAACACTGTTCTACAGCTAGGCATAAGGAAGGAAGGAATGTGGAACATTGAGAAACACTGTTCTACAACTAGGCATAAGGAAGGAAGGAAGGAATGTGTAACATTGAGAAACACTGTTCTACAGCTAGGCATAAGGAAGGAAGGAAGGAATGTGGAACATTGAGAAACACTGTTCTACAGCTAGGCATAAGGAAGGAAGGAAGGAATGTGTAACATTGAGAAACACTGTTCTACAGCTAGGCATAAGGAAGGAAGGAAGGAATGTGTAACATTGAGAAACACTGTTCTACAGCTAGGCATAAGGAAGGAAGGAAGGAATGTGTAACATTGAGAAACACTGTTCTACAGCTAGGCATAAGGAAGGAAGGAAGGAATGTGGAACATTGAGAAACACTGTTCTGCAGTCAGGCTGGTGAGCAGACATCTGCAGGTGTTTAGATTTTCCTTTCTACCAGAGTGAATTTTGCCTTTATTCCACCTGTGGTATTAACATTTAGTGGGATGTTTTTAAGGAACTTAGATCTAGGAGACTGAGTGTTTTCTAAGATTAAAGGCATCCCACTTGTTTATTTAGTTTATTCAGCACGTCCTTCATTATATCTCACAATATTTCGTTTAGTTTATTGTACTGATTTGGGCTCAAATCAACTTGTGATTTTAATATTTAATTTATGAGATATTGTATCTTTAATGACTGTTTTACAGAGTTGATAGTGAGTGCTACGAGGCATATCCAATAGTCTAAATTACTTACTCTAATTTTTGGCAGGCAGGGAAAGTGTTTTTTCTTCATTAATAGGAGACTGTTACCACTTTTCAGTAATGTTACTAAGTAAAGAACAGTAAAATTATTTTTGTGACAGTAATTTTTATGAAAGATCCCATAAGACATTGTAATATTTCCCTGGTCAGCTATATGTTAGCTGTAGTATTCTTTCTTACAGTAATATTTCCCTGGTCAGCTATATGTTAGCTGTAGTATTCTTTCTTACAGTAATATTTCCCTGGTCAGCTATACGTTAGCTGTAATATTCTTGCTTACAGTAATATTTCCCTGGTCAGCTATACGTTAGCTTTAGTATTCTTTCTTACAGTAATATTTCCCTGGTCAGCAATACTTTAGCTGTAGTATTCTTTCTTACAGTAATATTTCCCTGGTCAGCTATACTTTAGCTTTAGTATTCTTTCTTACAGTAATATTTCCCTGGTCAGCAATACTTTAGCTGTAGTATTCTTTCTTACAGTAATATTTCCCTGGTCAGCTATACGTTAGCTGTAATATTCTTGCTTACAGTAATATTCGTAGTTATATTACCTCTTCCCTCGTCTCGTACATCCCATATAAAGGCACATGAAATATGATGCAGTTTTCCTGCTAATTATAGTAACAATTTTCAAAGATGGTTCTAAAATATGATGTACATATTTTTTAATTAACGTTTACAATTGTATATTTTTTTTTTTTTTTATTCGCCGGTATTCTCCCGGCCCGGGTCTTTTCCAACTAGTGGTGACCCGGCCTTGGCTCCCTATCTGGGGAGTGTCTCGAGACTAAAGTCTCCCATGGGAGGAGGTACAGTACCTCATCTTTGGGACCAAGTGTCCCCAGGCCTAGCCACATTCCCCGCCCTCACGGGGCTCGTACAAATCTACTTAATGATTATCTACTTTCATACCTCACTTTCTACATTTTTTCTAACTTTATTTTATTGCTATTATTCATTATCACACAATACTACATGGCATTATTCTTTTTCATGTTCATATATATTTCAATATTATTGTTATGACACGAACTACAGAACAATTATTCACATACATTGTACTGTGTACTTGTCACGTGATGTTATACACGTAATTATGTACGCCAGTTACCGTCGACTTTGTCCTTGGTTATATTTAACTAATACAAACAATATGACAGAAAATAAACTTTGTACCCTGTTCATAGATAAAGGGGAGTTTCCACTATTTTCAAACATATTTATAAATTTATGTGTAAATATTTAAATAATGTATCTTACTTCACTAGAATTTACACTTTAACCAAATAATTAATAATACTTACAGTTCCAGTGAACCTTCTGAATGAGATGAAGCATTATCCTTCCATCTCCTGGAGTATAAGACACCGCCAGCCACAAGTAAGAGAAGTAAGCACACACCACCTACGGTTCCTCCTACAATTGCTCCCACGGGGGGTTTGGGTTTCGGACAGTCAGTTGTAACAGGAACCGTTGCTGGTTCTCCAAGCCCTGCCCCGTTGCGAGCCTAGAGAAATGGGATTAACAGCTACAGTAACCACAACATGAAGCCCTGGGTTCCAGCCAACGAACCCATGTCAAGCATCTGTATTATTGCTGACATTGAATGGTTATGGGATGCAGTCTAGTGTGACTGAGAAGGGCTTGATGCTTTATGCTTCCGCTTTGCCTCAGAGAGAATATTTTTCCCCCTACTGTCTGTTGCTAGCATTGCCTCATTGCATTTGCTCACGACGATGCACCGAAAGTGTGAAAGATCTTGGGCTATAGATTTCCATCCTCATGTGGCATGTTCTATATAAATAAAGGCTCTACCACTGATGCAGCTTATGGAGTCCCATAGCCCCATTGTCCCATAGCCCCATAGTCCCATCCCCACCCCTCCTTCAGAGTGCAGGCACTTTACTTCCCACCGACTAACTGATTTTCCCTGAATTCTTCAATAAAAGTTGCCATGTTGACACTCCAACAGCATGTCTAGTCATAAAAACAACTTGCCGCCACTCTTGTCTAAAACGCTCACACATGACTGTTGGATGCCTAAACCCACGTTCCATCTCATGTTTTTCAATTTCATGAAAAATGCCTTTGTAAAAATTAAAAATTGAAATTCTTTATCTCTCTGCTGATATTAAAATGTGGGGTTTACATATAAAATATTATTACATATTATAAAATACTCATTACAAAGAAGGCCTCTAGTATACTTAGGTATGCCTAGACATTTCAGGCAGATTAGTACTAATTCTTACTCTATATTGACCCAGATTATGGATCATACTGATATTAAAGTGAGGCAGCTGTAGAGCCTATAGTGATAGACTTCAAATATTCAGTGCTGCTCGGCTTTAAGAAACTTTGAACTCACTTCGAGCTGTGTATATTTAGCTTCTCCTTGCTGTTGAGTTTGTGATTTTTTCTCAAATTTATTAAACAAATTAGTTTCTGTGAAATATTTCTGCCACTAGAAATAAATCAATTTGATTGACACACGTTTTATTTACTTACATCATCTGATTGCCATATAGAGTCTAGCCTATTGTAAAAAATAAAACCTGGTATGTAATATACTCTAAATTTAAAACCTTATTTTTTTACCATTTAACCTTTAAGTTCTGGTCACTATTAGATAGGCGAAAGTTGAGAATAATTTTGGTCTGTGTAGGTCCCAATTTCTGTACATATATATATATATATATATATATATATATATATATTATATATATATATATATATATATATATATATATATATATATATAAATATTTAAGAAGAAATTTCAAAATTCAATTCCTGGCTTTTATGCCACAATTTCTGAGTGTCTCGTTGGATTGACTTTAACTCTTTAATGAAGAATATTTGACAAGGCAATTTCCAAGTAGCTTCAGACTTAATAATCTGGTGGATATTTGATTTTTGATCACTTTTAGATAACATGTAAGTACCTGTTGAGGTTGAGTGTATTGTTTCAAACACAATGTTTATTAGTGGATGATCTGAGTGAGTTTTGGACAGTGATTGTCATAATTTGTCATTATTAAAGAAAAAAATGAGATATTACTTTCCATGTAATAATTTATGAATTAGAAATTTAAGCCTCACTCTGGACTGACTATTGCGGCCATAACTACGGGGGTTGAGGTTATGCTGCCATCAAAAATCTGCTAGGTAAACATTAAATTGGTAAATTGACTATTACATAGTCCAAGAAACAATACTTTTCTGAATAGGATTCACCATTGTTGAAGTTTGAAGACTATCACACAAAAAATAATGGGAATGAACTATGTGGGTATGTAAAATTGACCGAAATGCACTCAAACAAGTAATAACTTGACCGTAGTGCACTCAAACAAGTAATAACTTGACCGTAGTGCACTCAAACAAGTAATAACTTGACCGTAGTGCACTCGAACAAGTAATAACTTGACTGTAGTGCACTCGAACAAGTAATAACTTGACTGTAGTGCACTCAAACAAGTAATAACTTGACTGTAGTGCACTCAAACAAGTAATAACTTGACTGTAGTGCACTCAAACAAGTAATAACTTGACCGTAGTGCACTCAAACAAGTAATAACTTGACTGTAGTGCACTCAAACAAGTAATAACTTGACCGTAGTGCACTCAAACAAGTAATAACTTGACTGTAGTGCACTCAAACAAGTAATAACTTGACCGTAGTGCACTCACACAAATAATAACTTGACTGTAGTGCACTCAAACAAGTAATAACTTGACTGTAGTGCACTCAAACAAGTAATAACTTGACCGTAGTGAGCTCAAACAAGTAATAACTTGACTGTAGTGCACTCAAACATGTAATAACTTGACTGTAGTGCACTCAAACAAGTAATAACTTGACTGTAGTGCACTCAAACAAGTAATAACTTGACTGTAGTGCACTCAAACAAGTAATAACTTAACCGTAGTGCACTCACGCAAGTAATAACTTGACCGTAGTGGACTCACGCAAGTAATAACTTGACCGTAGTGGACTCACGCAAGTAATAGCTTGACCGTAGTGCACTCACGCAAGTAATAACTTGACCGTAGTGCACTCACGCAAGTAATAACTTGACCGTAGTGCACTCACGCAAGTAATACCTTGACCGTAGTGCACTCACACAAGTAATAACTTGACCGTAGTGCACTCACGCAAGTAATAGCTTGACCGTAGTGCTCTCTCGCAAGTAATAACTTGGCCGTAGTGCACTCACGCAAGTAATACCTTGACCGTAGTGCACTCACACAAGTAATAACTTGACCGTAGTGCACTCACGCAAGTAATAACTTGACCGTAGTGGACTCACGCAAGTAATAACTTGACATTAGTGCACTCACGCAAGTAATACCTTGACCGTAGTGCACTCACACAAGTAATAACTTGACCGTAGTGCACTCACGCAAGTAGTAACTTGACCGTAGTGCACTCACGCAAGTAATAACTTGACCATAGTGCACTCACGCAATTAATACCTTGACCGTAGTGCACTCACGCAAGTAATTCCTTGACCGTAGTGCACTCACACAAGTAATAACTTGACCGTAGTGGACTCATGCAAGTAATAACTTGACCGTAGTGCACTCACGCAAGTAATAACTTGACCGTAGTGGACTCACACAAGTAATAACTGGACCGTAGTGCACTCACACAAGTAATAACTTGACCGTAGTGCACTCACACAAGTAATAACTTGACCGTAGTGCACTCACGCAATAACTTGACCGTAGTGCACTCACGCAAGTAATAACTTGACCGTAGTGCACTCACGCAAGTAATAACTTGACCGTAGTGGACTCACACAAGTAATAACTTATCTTACCTTGATGGTAAGATAAGTTATTTCCCATAAGGCATAAAGTAAATCCAATTAATCTATTCCAGACCACCAAAAATATTAACAAAAAAATATAGTTCGTAGAGAATAACTATATTTTACATACAGAAAATGGATGATGAAATTAAAGGATATACTGTACAGTTCTTTCATCACCAGAAACCTGTGTACATTTACACTAAGAATTCAAAGCTAATTTCAAAAAAAGCTAAACACACTGAATGAATGTTTGTGTAAACAGGTGAGAACAAACTGTTGAACAATATATTACGATAAAGGTGAAATAACAAGCAATATGGTGAGAAAAAATGAGACAAAGGCAAGTTTCAATAATAATTAATTTTCCCATAGAAATAATTATCAACAAGTGTAATAGGGAACCTATGTGGCCTTTGGGTCTGCAAGAATTTTTAAAAAATTTTAAAAGCAATATACGTATATCATATATATTAGAATGTATTATACATTAATAATTCTCAACTGAAGGAGGGGTGTTAATGTTGCAGTTTAAAAACTGTAGTGTAAAGCACCCTTCTGGCAAGACAGTTATGGAGTGAATGATTGTGAAAGTTTTTCTTTTTCGGGCCACCCTGCCTTGGTGGGAATCGGCCAGTGTCATAATAAAAAATAAATAAATCATACCTTCACATCGACAGTATAATCAGTGCATGGTTGTAATCTTGTAATATTGTATTTATAATATACTGACGCTATATCCGTCTCATTCGTACTGTCACTGTTGTACCAGTTGATATGCCAGTTCCTCAGCTCTCCGTTTATATCTGTAGGCGGTGACCAAGATATTGAGACCTGTGTACTTGTCTTGTCTTCCAGCTTGAGGTTGTTGGGCTTGCTTGCTTCTGTTTATGGTGAGTAGAGGAGAGGGTTAAATACAAGTGAAAATTGGCATCATAAAGAAAGTCATAAATGTTCCCAAATATAATGATTTTCTGATACATTGTAATAATGGTGCTGCCGTGTTTGTAAATTCTGCTTCCATATTTGTAAACAAATGTCATTAACTCATTGAAAGAAAATAACTGCTATAATTATTGTACTATATTTAATGTTTCCATAATTTAAGGCCTTGTATACTCGTTCTTCGTGAATTTTTAAATTTATATTCTATAAATTCTGTGTGCTGGAAATACCCTCAACTGGGAGAAGTTTGTTATTCGTGCAAAATGACCAAACTCTAATCGACACCATGCCTAACCCTTCTAGGGTAGGGTAGGTGCCTGAGCCCGAGCCTTTAGCTCATAAGACTGTCATTCCCATTAGCCTCCTTGTGGCGGGGATGGCAGACCAGAGAGGCCTAGCTTGTGGCTAGGCCTGGGGACAGTTAGTCCCAAAGATGAGGAGGTACTCGTGCCTCCTCCCATGGGAGACTTAGGTCTCAGACCCTCCCTAAAGAGGGAGACAAGGCCGGGCCACCACTTGGAAAAGGCCCGGGCCGGGAGAATACCGGCGAATATTTAATTATAATAATAACCAAACTCTATATACCTTTATTGTATATTTATTTCTTGTTATTATTCAGCTTTTTTTAATACTATTTTTAATAAATCATAGGAAAGTAATTTAATTCTGATATCAGGAGGAACACTAACGGATCATTTAAGTAATAAAAACCTCAAACAATTAAAAGTGTGGAGTTTTTCATTATCAATAAGGTGTAAATTAACTTTAATATCTTTTTCAAAGACTGAAAAATCCTTGTTTGCTGTTGTGCACTCAAAAAAATGCATAATTACTGAATTTTGAGTTGTACTTTATAGTAACACGAGGAACAAAGAGGCACAATACTATGACTGGAACAATATAACCAACACATACGAGAGAGGAACTTACGGCGATGTTTAGGCCCTACTTGGACTGAGTTGGACCAAAACGTCGTCGTAAGTTCCTGTTTCCTGTGTGTGGGTTACCTGCTTACACTACGCATGTTTTGGAAAATAAGTAAATATCTACAAATAAATACAAATCCAAATTTTTATTTCCTTGCAAGAGAATATTGAAACACAAATAACCCGCACATAAAGGACAGAAGCTTACGACGACGTTTCGGTCCGACTTGGACCATTGACAAAGTCAATGCGGGTTATTTGTGTATCGTTCCAGTCACGGTATTGTGCCTTTTTGTTATTTATGGAATATTGAAATTATGTAATTACATTAGTGAGTTTCAGAGCATAGAGAGCCATCATCATGCCATGGCATTATGGGTAGGCTTAAGTTAATGTCTTACAGACTGTTTAATACTAGAGAAATTGATCATAGTTTGTCAAGTTTTACGTGTTTTATTTATAAAAGACAGTAAGTTGGCTCAAATTACAATCTGGGGATATTACTTTTGGACAAGTTGAAAGTATTTTGTAGGTTTTGTATATAATAGTAAATATTCAAATTATATTATGGGAATATAACATTGTGAGTTGTTGAAAGTAGTTCACAGTATAAGAATGTTACAGTTGTGACGTAAACTGTATAATGGAGTTCAATGTGTCGGGTCACTTAAGTAAGAAACTTTGAAAAACAAATAAATATGTGAAAGTTCTTGATAAAATTAAAATAAAAGCAGATTCCTCTAAATAAAATATTAACAAAAACAATAAATAAATTTATAGACCAAAGTGGTACTATGTTATTAAACATTAAATTATGCATAATAAAGTCCATACTCACGGTAAACATGTTTTTACGATCATGTAAGTTGCAAAAATACTAATATAAAATACTGTACATAGTGTGCTAAGAACAGAAAGACGAGAGTTATTATTAATTAAGATTCACCGGTATTCTCCCGGCCCGGGCTTTTTCCAAGTGGTGGCCCGGCCTTGTCTCCCTCTTTAGGGAGGGTCTGAGACCTAAGTCTCCCATGGAAGGAGGCACAAGTACCTCCTCATCTTTGGGACCAACTGTCCCCAAGAAAAGAACTTTTGTTGCCTTTACAAATGTTAAAAATACATTTGATAGAGCAGACAGAGGATGAATGGGACAGATAGTGCAGATGTATCTAATGACTGGAAGGTTATTAAAAAAAGCGTGAAGAATTTGTATTTAAAGAGTGAGGCTCAAGTTAGAGTATGTATGAAAGATGAGAGAATACTTTCCAGTAAGACGATGTCGTGGGATGTCACCATGGATGTTAACATCTGAAGATGGCACTGTAAAAGAAGGAAATGCTAGGGTGTTGGGGGTAATTGGGAAATGTCGAAGTTGCCTTTTTTCCTGATGACATTGTTCATTTTAGAGATTCTGAAGAGAAGTTGTATACGATGGGAGCATATGTTAGGGAAGGAAATTAAACTTGTACGAAATGAAGAGTAGGATGACAAGAATATAAACAATTTAGGCAATGAAAGAATGGGTATTAGATTGGAAAGTGAGAATATTGATGAAGTAAATGTATGAAGATCATTCGGAGTGAACTTGTCAATAAACAGGATCATGGAAGCTGAGATGAACCAAGGAATA